TCTCTCTGTCTGTCTCTCTGTCTGTCTGTCTGTCTGTCTGTCTGTCTCTGTCTCTCTGTCTGTCAGGCGTGGACTCATCATGGGGCTGTGGAACTCTCACACCTCAGTGGGAAACATCCTGGGCTCTCTGATCGCCGGCTACTGGGTGTCCTCCAACTGGGGCCTGTCCTTCATCGTACCGGGGCTCATCATCGCAGTCATGGGCGTCGTCTGCTTTTTCTTCCTCATTGAGCGTGAGTACAGCCTCCCCATTGGCTGCAGGGCTTCTACAAGTGGTTGCCAGGCTGGCACCACTATGCAGTTATACGTCAGCTTAAAGGTGCAAGATACAAGATTGGGAGCATTTTTATTTCCTCATCCCGGCTCTCAACATGGCGGCACCTGCGCGGTTGGCTCGTAGCTAACATTGCGTAGCTAACGGTGTTTACCTGAGGGTGGGTGCCACACTTCCACGATGACACGGACGGCTGGGACGGCGTTATCAGCTGTAACTGCCATTTGAGAGCAGTGCAGAGCTAAGCATGCACGTACATGCGCTAAAAGCATGCACGGCCGGCCCGTGGTTCTTTGTCAGTTGAATCAATTTGAACCTTCGTTAGTGATGTTATATTTGTAGTTTGAAACGATAATTTACTTGCTTCGCTAGTCTCTCTAAAAGATGCTTGCGCACATGCGAGTAAACGCACCAGCGTTGTGAGAAGCCTTCTGAGTCTGATTTGTGATTTTGGGTGATACAAAATGAATTGAAATGAATTGAATTGAATTGAATTGTCTGGTTCCGGTTCTAATGCAGAGCCCGACTCATGGTGTATGATGGGCACTTAATGCACTTTCTCAAAGACATTATGTTCCCCAAGTTAAGTGAGTTTCCATTGACAGTGCTAATTCTCACACTAGTGTTTGTACAAAGAACATGTTTTAATTCTGGAGCTCGCTTTCTGTCGCAGTGTTTTCCTCACTTTGCTGGCTCACTGAAGGAAAGAAGCCGCTCTTAGCAAGACTTCAAGGAGCATCATTAACTTCATGACATCTTTTTCCCTCTCCAGATCCAGATGACCTGAAAAGCGTGCATGCTCAAAATTATTCTCCAGGCAAGAGTGTGAGTACAACAGAGTTCTTCCTGTTTCTTTCTTCAGGTCAAGGAAACACAATCGCCACATTTCTTTGTATTTCATTTTCTTGATTCTTTTGAAAGCTTGTATTTAACATGTGCCGTGTGCTATCTTTGCCAGCATCCTTAAAGTTTGGTGCCTTAGTGTGTCTCAATTCAGGATTCACACCCATTGCTGGATTTGTGTGAAATGAAATAGGATTATGCGTTCTACAAATAGGTGACAAATGGATCCTTAAGAAAGGATCAGAGGTGCTTGTACACAGGGCACGAGGGCTGGAAGTCCCCACACCTCAACCCAGCTGAAGAGCGATGTGAGGTTCACTGCCCTCTGCTGGACTCTGTGGGTAATACTGTCCTCTAGTGTTCAGAGAGCTGGAGACTGCGTGACAGGGAGACGCTGGATTATTTAGACAAAATATTTCAAATAGTACTGCAGCTGCTAACAACAAGAGCATGTTGGGCGTTCCGCTGGCATCTCCACGGTCTGATGTCCCAACCTGACATTCTGGACCTTAGCGTCGGCCAGCTGAATGATCTGATTCAGGGAGCTGCAACAGCAGCGGGGCATGTCTCTAGCCACCATGGGCTCTCGCCATGTGTGCCCCCGCCCTCACAGTTGGGCTCTCACTCTCAGTTCAGCCGTCATTTGCCGTTGGCTCGCCCTCAGAGGAACGCTGAGGCGAAGCGTAACAACACCTCTGTGAAGGAGCGAGCGTCGACAGATGGAGCACCCGTGGCTCCTTCTGCCTCACCGTCTCGTGGCCTGACCTATTCAACGGCCCTATGTTGGCCCCTATGGGCCAGCTTCCCGTGACTCCTGGCCGAGACAGGATATCGCAGCTTCCTAAAATGGCCACAGCTGGTCGCTCGTCCTCTAACACAGTCACACACAACGGTTCCTACACCCGGTGATGCGGGCCTCCTTCCCGCAGTGGGAAAGGCCTTGATAAAGGACCCTTTCTGGTTCTTTCCAGGGAGTGGAACTTGAGTGTGTGGATGTTTCATGGAGGAGGAAAGTATTATGTAGTATTATGGGCTGTACCTCTCATCCCCTGCACAAAACACTAAAGTCACGTAGGAGCTCCTTCAGCCGTAGCCTGACACCACCGAGGTGCACCACAGACCTGTCTCTTCTATCAGCAGCCATCAAACGATATAAAACTTCCACCTTCAGCTGAAACAAAAACCACATCATGTGCAATATCACTTTTTATTACTTTCAATATAATTGACAATATCTCTCTCATTATCATGCACCATATTACTTTTCTATTAGGCTTTACTGTTCGTATCCCTTCTTATACACATCTTTTGTTGTTGTAATCAGCTTTTTGTATTTTAGTTGATTTTTTTACTATATATATACTCTTGTTGCTATTTTATTTTGCACAGTATTGGTAAACTTCTTTTACTCTAGTGTTCATATATATTTATATTAGTGCTGGGCAACGATTAAAATATTTAATCGCGATTAATCGCATGGATTTTTTGCGATTAATCTCATTGTTATGGAAAAGTTCAATAATGAATTCAAAAGTAGTGTATTGCGCACTGTTATTTTAAAAGTACTGCTATATGAACAAAAGGGCAATAACATTTGGTTCACGAGATGCAGGTAGCATGTTTTATACTTAATGTGAATATAATTCATACTTTGTTGGCATCTTATTCTGAAAACCGGATGTTCGTCTGAAGAAACCGGATGTTGTCTCACGTTAATCTTTCCGCTAACTTTCAAAGTCCTTTGCTCGCTCCAGATCTGTGCCGTTTAAATGCGTTTACCGTGAATTTCAGCATATAGGTGCACTAACATGTAAGTGTCTGCTGAGCTGACCACGGAGATCTGAGTGTCTGCTGACTTATTATAAATTTAAAAAATGCGTTAATGCGCGATAAAATAATTGTCGGCGTTAATTAATGAATGCGTTAACGCGAAATTAACGCGTTAACTTGCCCATCACGAGTTTATATATTTTAATCTTCGTTCAAACTGTGGCACAAGAGTTCCCTTCAGGATAAGTGAAGTTGTATCTTGTCCTCTTTATCTTATCTTTGAGTATCTGGAGCACTCCTCTCTGAAGGCTGCTTGCACTGACCTCCGCTCAGAGATTGAGTGAACTTCCTGCCTCTTCGCTGCACCTCGGTTGCTCGTTGCTCCACGGTGACCGTAGCGTGGCTGCCCTCAGACCAAATCCCTCCTTTGTTCCCAAGAACTTCAGGAGTTTTGGGCATCAGGAGCTGGGTGCCTTTTGTCTTCCACCCCTTGTGGGCGACAGAGAGGCAAAGCTACATCTACTTTCCCCAGTTGGCATGTTGTATTGAGCGCACGGCCCCCATCAGACAAGCTGAACACCGATTCAAATGCTTCGGGAGTATAACCCTTAGAATCCAGTAGAGAGCTCCGCCTGACGTAGTTACAAGGGTTACAATATCGTAACCTTCTTTGTGGGGTTATGTGCTAAAGACTCTACATACAGGATTCTTAGCATTAATATAGCTTCAAACAACTATCTGCTGTGTGGACATATAATGGAGTAATGTCTATCCGAGCAGAGTTAAGTCACTCTTCCTCTGTGTGCGTTCAGTCCAGCAGAGCGTGCATGTGAGTGTCTCTGTTGTGCCCCACATGCTGTCTAAAGCACTGTGCTCACAGGATGGCTACCGCTGATAACGCTGTTCTGTTATTGTATTGGGATTATATGAATGTAACTTCATTGTGTTGTTGATTGCTGCTAGACCGCCCTGTTAATACAGCTGCGTTAGAGGAAAGAGATTCAGCAGTTCAGATGTTGTTTCTGAAACAAAACAATAAAGAGGAGCCAGAGAACATGAAACCAAGTGTGGTACAACAAGTCAGGACTAAAGATGGGAGGCCGGTGCTTCTAGAATCCAAAGAGCATTTGGAGTCTGCCTCATGCCTTTGGTGAACTCCAAACATCTTCCCTGATTTATCCTTTAAAGCCTGAAGGAATGTGGAACATGTGTGAATAAATGATAGATTCTTCTCTTCCAGCAGGCTCCAGCCAACAGCTGGAATGGTGTGAATGGACACACTGAGGTGTATCTGCAATACAAGGACAACAAAACCCAGGTGTGTGTCACTGTGTGTATGTTGCATTGTGTATTGTCACTTTTTTCCAACTGAGCCCCACTTACTTCAAAAGAGGGAGAAAGAGCACAGTGACAACAAGTACAGACGAGTCAAATCCAGTTCATGCATGAGCTCAGTACTTCTAGTAAGAAGCTTCTTGAGAAAATATCGCTTCAGGGGCTTGAAAGGCAAAGCTCACCCATAGACAATGAGTCCAACAGTCACCAGGTGGAGATAAGTTAACAGACAGCAGTGTGAGATTGCAACATTTTTGGATTTGGTAAAATAGCTTTATCGCACAGACAAATATCAATCATGCATGGGAAAGAGAAAAGCTGCTCGGCTGTCCCAAATAGTTTATTGTCCCAAAAGCTTTATTCATTGACATTCAAAATCAAAACGCTGCGCATCTTTTCTTTGTTTTGCATGGCTGTGCATTGTGTTTAAAGCTGTTATTTCTGCACAGTTGTTCATGAAGATCAGGCTCCAGTAATATTATTATTGTCATGCTATTTTTAGAGCTAGATTCCAGTGGTGGCTGCTCAAGATTTAGAGTTGTGTGATCCAACTGTTTCCAATAACTCCAGAACTTTGAAAAGTCCTAATTTCTCAAATGTTTTTATCTAACAAAATGTTCTGCTTCAATCCATATTTGTTGGCGTTTTGCCTTTCAAAAACATTTTCACTGAGCTCAAGAAAGAGTTTGCTGCACACAAAAGGAGACGTGTGTCAGCACTCTGGGAGCACCATGAATTACATCTGTACAACAACAACAGACATTTAAAGCCCAACCTCAATGGAAGCTTTGAATTATGTTCAGAAGTGAAATGATATTCAGTACGACCTGAAGACTTCTCAGTGTAAAACATCTACACAAGAGCATCAGGAGCTACAACATAACGAATAATAAAACCAATGTAGTTATAGTCCAGTGATGAAGGGCTTCAGATTGAACAAGTGTACCAAATGAACTGGTAACTGTTTCAATGAATGACATTTAACAGAGTATCAAAAGATGGATGTTCCTGCCCAACACTTGAGTGAGCTGCATTTTAAACATGTCATTGTAATTTATTCAGGTGTACCACTATCACGAGGATAGTGTTCAAAGCAGGAAGGTCAGTTTCTTTAGTGCTTCGAGGGGCTTCGTGGTTGCTTAAGCAGCAGTTAGTCTACCATCCAGAAGTTGGGGTATGCTGGACGAACACTGAACAATCATTTGTAGGCTCAATCCAAATGTCCGTCCTCTGGACTCTCTGTAGGCTGCAGAGGGCTTGTGTTCCCTTTCCAACTTGATGAATGTTTGATGTTTGGATTTAAACAGCCCTCTGTACTCCAGTGATGGCAGCACGCCAGTCAAGTCCACTGCGAGTGCCGTCGAGTTGGGACATTTGGATTTAGCCTCTGGGTTTCTTGAACTCTTTTGGAATTCTAGTTGGGTTGGGTTTACCACATGCAATGGTTCTTTAAACTTCAGTTTGATCGTTTATTCCCCTAATGCATTGGTCCACACAGTGACCCCTACCCATCTATCACACCAATGAGTGAGCGGTCCGACATTCATCTTGTATTGATAGTATTTGACACAAGCATGTTGGTGTGTCACCTTCTTTTTCCCCAGAATAACAGGTGGTGTTATAAATGCTTACTGTTTCATCTTTGATTGCTCTTTAATTCACAGTTTGGCTAAGTTAACTATGTTCCTCTTTCACTTATTGTCACACAACGTGTCAAAGGTCACCATTGAAATGGTCCTGTGGGTTAAAAATCACTGAAACATATGAACGCTACCTACGGTACTGTAAATGATTGGCTCATGTCTTCCATTCATTGTTCATTTAGTAGGTGGACTGAGTTGGAGCAGCTCCACCTGCAGCCCCTGATCATCCTCCTTCTCTCCTCCAGAGCTACGACACAGAGCTGCTGTTGCCGAGGGACAGTGTGTGTGTCCCCATGCAGCCGGTCGTGGTGGTGAAGAGGGAACCGCAGCCGTCCGCCATCAGCTTCATGGGAGCTCTACACATCCCGGTCAGTTAAACAAACACACACACACACACACACACACACACACACACACACACACACACA